TTACACTGTTTTGATGTCTCACAGGACTCTATGTCAACATCCCCAAGCCCAACAAGTTCAAGTTTCTCCTTTATGGAGGTGGGCATGCCTTGTGACGACATGGCTGACTGATGGCTACTGGCCAGAGTTGTCTCTTCAAGCGCTGAAGTATCAAAGTCCTCAAGCGCCACGCAGGAGTACACATTTGCTATTTTGGCGTTACGACGCAGATGTACAGGCTGTTCAGACATATTGATCAGTTTCAATGGGACCCATCTGTCACCCCACAAGGGAGTAACCAATCTAGCAACCAAAATCCCTCTGGGTGCAGAGCGGGATGACGAGGGCTCTGTCATCACTGTGCTGCCAGGGGAGACATTGATGTTCTTTGGTAGTTTACCCCATACCAGATATTCGCGCCCTGGTTCAAGGGACACAGCTGAGTTACACCTAACCGTGCCTACTCTGTCCGGGACGTCCGAATCTTTCCATGGGGTCAAACCAGAAAGCATCGACAGAAAGTTATCTGTCTCAAGGTTGGTCTTAGAGTAATTACTGGAGACCGTGTTCCAGTAGGGCTCACAACGTTTAGACTGGTGCAATACGTGCTTTATGACGTTTGTCCCCAGTATTAGGTCATCAAGCTGCCCTTGAACCACCAGGATGGGAACTATCATTTTGCAGCCATACACCTCCATCTCCACATTGAGGGCATACTTAGGCTTCACACGTAGCCCTCCACACCCAACAAGAGTCACATCCACTTTGATAACATCTTGATCAGATATCAGTCCAGATTCACGCAGCGTCACCTCGGCTGCTTCATTCATGCTGCATGCCATGGATCCACTGTCCAGCATACCACCCATTTTCAAAAACCCACCGAAAGTGACTGGAGTGTAGAAAAGACTGTCACTATTACCGACTTTGTGAACGTTTTGAAAAATAACTTCAGAATCTTTACATTTTTGTCTTGCCTCTTCATACACTGACTCCGCATTACAGGTATCAACAGTTTGGGAGTTTCCTGTAAGACCTGCACTGCCTCCCACCGAATACAGGTCGGCTAGTTTCCCTCCGGTTCGACCTGGGTAGACGTACTGGCCGGGCAGGATAACCGAACATGTCCAGGAGCAAAGCACAAAAAGCACAGTTTATCAGATAGACAGTGTGATGCTGTGGTATGTCTTGGATCATTGCAGACTTTGCAAGCATCCTCCCTTCTCCGTCTATTTCGTGAGAACTGATTAAACGCCCCTCTCCTTGGTGTCTGTGTGTTGTGGCGCTGCATTCTCTCCATCATGGCCTGAAACATATCCATCATCTGACCCATGAGCCTTTCCTCTGGCTGGTGAAGATTTTGGGTCATTGCAGTCGAAGGGGAGAAACTCGGGCCACCGATAAGAGGCTCTCGTGTTGCGGTGGAGGGGAATGAGTCCGCCAACCCCTGAAAACCCGAGGATGGGGGCGAGAAGCTTCGGGAGCATCCCTCCGGCACAGCAGCTGCAGGTAAGGCATCCGGGTGTACGGCAGTGATCGTAGAATTGCAGCCCTTCAACTGTGCAGTGCCGCTGGCTCTGCCACTAGCCCTCACCTCCCTTTGATAATCATCAATCCTTTGTTGTACGTCCCGAGCAGTCCACTCATGGACAGGCTTGCACTTGAAGACATAGAACAACTCAGGGTCAGGGCAATGTTTCACGAACATACATGCAACTTCACGGGATAAAGGAGCCGCTGTCTGCCCCAGTCTGCGTAGCCCCTCTATGGCTAGTTCAGCAGCCTTGTTCAGTCTTATCCAATAATCTACCGGGTTTTCACCTCTGGTAGGGAGTGTTGCATAAAAATCAGCAAGAGGGAGGCATGACGAAGAGTCACTGAAATAATGACGAAGGACCCCAAAGATCAGATCAGGTTTCTGTTTGACATCAAGGTCCGGGTCACTTCGAAGAGCCACTCTGACCACATCTCTGGCCTTCCCCATTAAGTGGCTAATAATTTCATCAGCCTGACCATGAATGGGGACCTCTTGCTTCCATAGATAAGCCGTTGCCATGTCAATCCAGTCCTGAACCGAACATCTGTCTGTGCCATCACCCCTAAAAATTTGAAGCTCCTTATTGGGCTTAACATGAACAGTTACATGTGGTACATCTCGAGCTGCTCTGTTACATTGCTCAGTTTGAATCTTAGAGTCGCCAGTCGGACTCACAACCCCAGCTGACAACAGTTTAGTAACAATGGATTCACCTATCTGGGCTCCTATTTGCTCAACCATGTTAGTAAAGCTGTGTACAGCATCACTGTCTCTAATCGGAGTGGAAACTTGAGGCAAATTACCCACACCCCTACCGATGGGAATAAAACTCGGGCTTTGGCCTAGCCCAGTGTCACTGCTTACAGGACAAAACTGTGTGACATTGCTGGTGTCAACTGCATGAACTAGTCCGGCACCTCTACCCTTAGGTAGTAATGGAGTGACAAATTTATCCATCCTCAAGTCCCACACTTGAATAATAGTAATAATAACAGTATAATAGCAGCAAAACGAGGGAAAGACAAAAATAATAATAATAATGTCCAAACAATTTGAGCGTATGACCACACGTTGTGTATCAAATCACAGGCACTTTCACCTTTGTCTTATTTCAATCACATCCCTAAAATATTTTTTTTTTCTTTCTTCCTCTCGACTCACTTGGTTACAACAACCCACATTCAACTTGTGGAAAGCAAGGGAGCAGAACAGCAGCCACGGCGATGAGCATCAAGCTGATCTGAAGATCCGAATGGTCACGGCACCAGTGTAACGCTTCCTTTCTTCATGAATCACAGATGCTCAGAAAGGTTGGCTGTTCACGGTTTATTCTGCAGAAGACATAAAACACACTCAACAGGTGTCTTCTGATGGTACCAGCAATTGTAGCTCCCTCACAGTGCAAGCTCGCGCTGTGGTTTGACAAGACTTACAATTTCCTTCTCAATAAAGATGGAAAACCATAATTTCTCCCATTTCACAGTCTGTCACACCGTACTTGCATACAAAAAGAAATCTTATAACTTATAAAAATACATTTCCCAACTGTATAAAACAAAATAACAGGATAACAGAAGTATCACTGGCTAATAATTTCCCTCTAGTGGACAAATTAACGGTAGCTCACTACCCTTTCACTTGCTTGCGCTTTACAGACAAAATGACTGTTAACAAGCTCACGTACCTGCAGAAGACATAAAACACACTCAACAGGTGTCTTCTGATGGTACCAGCAATTGTAGCTCCTACAATGTAAAACAATATTACAAAAACCACAGAAAAACAGTAAATCCAAACACATTTTCTGTTATGTGCAGCAACCGTTATAGGGCTGACAAAAGCTTACTGCCTAAGAGCATAAACACGGCAGAAACACTGTTTAACAGCAACCACCCTTTTGTTTCGGTTACACAGAAACATCCTAACATCAATATAAACCTATATACATCGACATGTACAACTTATGTAACAACATTCACACCAGAAACCATAAAAATGTCAGAGTCTTTCATTACCGAACTTACCCTCACAGTGCAAGCTCGCGCTGTGAGGAGCGGTAGCCTTAGCAGCTTCTAAACGTTAGAATGAGATCCGGTTTCTGGGTTTTCAAAATAAAATACAGCAACAACAAAAATGATCAAATTCACACTTAAAATAATAATTAAGAACAGGTAAGTGCATGTTTTTTTTCCAGATGTATCTTTAACTCCGTTACATTTAGGAAGAGCAGACAGCGAGGCATTGCAGTAGTCCATCCTACCGGTGATAAAAGCACGCATCAGCGTCTCCGTACTGGCCCGAGAGAGAGTGGGGACATACTGTTTAACTGTCCCACTTCACCATGTCAGCCGCTGATCCCTGCATGTGAAACTGCAAGAGGGTAAAGGTCACAATTTGGTTAAATGTCCGTTTTACGGCGGGTGTCAGTACCGACGCTCTGGCACAGCTCGTCGCCTCCGCCTCCCGACGCAGGGGCTCATCGCCTGCTGGAGGACTGCATCTTGTCAGTCATTATCACGTGACAGCGACTAGTCGATGACAGGCATAAAAAGTCACTACAGAGCCGTGAAGTCCACTAGTTCATACAACCCCTAGTGGAAACAGATTCACTCTTCACCTCTAAGCTTTGGTCATTCTTATAAATTCACATACTACAGCAGCACCGCGCTATGAGACAGGAGTAGAATAAGTGAAAAAGACGGTGGATGTAAAAATGTAGACATGAGAAAACCATGAAAGTGACATGTTGCCTGTTGCTGCTGCAGTCTGACCTGAAGACCTGACCTCGTTGGTCGCTGAAGAAGCTGCTAAATGTCCGTGTTTCTACCAGAAGCATTCATCTCCTCCGTTATATCCACAGTTCTTCTTCTGTTTTTACTTCTGAAATGTGCATCTATTCCAGCCTGGCAGGCTTGGGCTACATCTGTTCAGCTTTCTAGAATATTTCTGAACCTTTTAGCTAAATGACACATGAGCTGCCTTTCTGAGTCAGAGACCTCCAAAGTGCTTTACCCTACGGTGAATCCTTCATCCATTCACACCCTGGTGCTGATGAGCTACATGGTAGCCACGGCTGCCCTGGGGCACGGGGGCAGGTGGAGGAGTAAAGTGTCTCGCCCAAGGACACAACAGCATAATTCCCTGGAGGGAGCTGATCCAGCAGCCCTGTGATAACAAACTTTCACTGCAGAGGAACAATAAAGGGATTTTCTACTCTACTCTACTCTTTTCTTTTATATTCTTTTCTAATCTTCCATTCTTCTTTGTTAAAAACTGATTAAACATAGATTTATAGATGTTTTTCTACTTAGGCCTAACTTCATAAATAAAACCAGTGAAAACTGAACTTGTGTTTATAAATAAAATTTAAGTCAAAAGAGTTTGAAATCACTTTATTGATTTCAGTTTCAGCGTTTGACAGAATTTCAGATCCGTAATGTCGCCCTCTGCTGGCAGCTATTGACCTCTGCACCAGTCGCTTGTTTATGACGTATTTCACGCGCGCGTTTGGCTCAGGCTGACTTCCGTTTAGTAAACATTCCGACCTTCTGGCGGTGTTTTACTGTGTAAGTTGGGGTTTTCCGTGTGAAATCTCTAGTTATTAGTTTGTGAAGTGAACATGTTTGTCTGACGTCATCCCGTCTTCCGGGACCGAGTTCCGCTCCAGGCGTTTGAAGTTGTGGTCATGGCCGCGCTTCTGCACCGACTGCTGACCGCTTTCTGTCAGACCCACGACAGGAAGATTCTAGTCAAACTTACCAAAAGGACTCACTTCCGGTCTTCTCCCTCCACCTCCGTGAGGTCAGGTGATCAGGATGGGTGTGACGCTCATCAGCAGACATCCGGACAGGCGCTGCTGTCCAGGAGAAGACGGTGGCTGTCCCCGCTGGACAGGATCAGCAGCCTGCTGCCTCCGGATGTTCTGGGTCCAGAGGTGATGCAGCTGCGACAGGAGCAGGATGGAGAAGCAACCATCCACCAGGAGCCTGACGAGGAACATCTGGAGGAGACAAAAGCTCCATCATCTCAAGAGAAAGGTCAGAGGTCACCGACTCTTCCAGGGGAGAGCGTGCTGACTTTTGGGGAGCTTCTCATGGCCGAGCACAGAAAGAAGCAAGTGCATTTCAGGAAGATGTTCCAGCTTCAGTCGGGGGCTCGCCTTCAGAGCAGCTGGGGCGTCATCCCTCACAATGAGCTGGCTGGGCGCCCTGCAGGACGCTTCCTGAAGACAAACACGGGCGTCCCCATCTTCTTCCACAGGCCCAGCCTGGAGGACTATGTCCTGAACATGAAGAGGGGGCCTGTCATCGCATATCCAAAGGTAGATAGAGTGTTGAGATCCAAAACGGTCCGTTTCAGAGTTCTGATGCAGGGTTCTGTTCTCAGGATGCAGCCGCCATGCTGCTGATGATGGATGTGACGGAGGGGGACTGTGTGCTGGAGTCGGGCTCCGGGTCAGGGGCCTTGGCCCTGTTCCTGTCCCGAGCAGGTCTGTCTCACTCATCAGGACTGATGATAGGACCTTCCACCTGGTGTGGAAAACACATTTCCTTTTCCAGCTTTTAGATGTTCTTGGGTTTCCGTAGAACAGAGTGTGCGTTTGCTTTTTAAGACCTTTCAGCCTACTTCACATCATTATTTAGTTATTTACTCGGGTCACGTTTGTTTGCTGAAACACTCAAGTGTGATAAAGCAAAAATATCATAAAGATGACAGAATAAAACTGTAAGCGACGTGTTTGGGTTTCCTCCAGTGGGCTCTAGGGGCAGCGTCCTGAGCGTGGAGCTCAGGGAGGATCACCACACGAGAGCCGTGCTGAACTACGAGCGCTGGAGGACCTCCTGGGCTCTGCGACGAGGTCACGAGTGGCCCGACAACGTTGACTTCCACATCTCTGATCTCTGCTCCGCCTCAGCGCTCCTCGCTGGGCGGGGCTTTCACTCGGTCGGTGTCGGGTTTCACGTCCGGGGAGCAGATGTGAATCTAGAGGATGGTGATGGATGCTTCTGTTGCAGGTTGCCCTGGACCTGATCAACCCCCACCTGGTTCTAGCCACCGTGCTCCCACACCTGCTTCCTGGAGGGGTCTGTGCTGTCTACCTCGCCAAGTGAGCCGCTGCTTCATCGCCCCTCAAACCAAACTTTGGTTCATTTCAAAGAAACGTGCTGGGAAATGTTTTCTGTTATTTATGTGTCACAGATTTTATCGATATGCTTATCAGTAACCCGTTTCCTGTAGTGAAGAGAGAAGGAGACAGTATAACTGTGGCATGATGCACGAGGCAAAATGTCCCGAACGTCCGGTCACAGAGTTTATTTATACCAAGAGAGAAGAAAGGAGTGTGTGTGTGTGTGTGTGTGTGTGTGTGTGTGGCATAGAGCGATACATTCACATTCAGCTGATCAAGAATTAATAAGAATACATTTTCCATAACATTTTAAAAACAAAATAAACTAAAAAATCAAATGAAAGCTGAATCTGAAACTCGGTGATGTCAGTTGTTTCTGGTGAATGACATCATCACGTTACAGATTCCAGAGAAGACTGATCCGTTTCCGGGTTCCTTGCTGACAGTTTCGATCGCTCCTGCGGTCTTCTTCAGAGCCAGCTGCTAATGACGGCGTCACTTCCTCCTCCGTTTATCCGTAGAGGACGGCGTCGCCCTCTGCTGCCCGCGCTCTCCTCACCGATGACACGGTCCCTCGTGTAGACCCCTCGTCTCTGTTCGTGGTTCTGTGCGTCCGGCCGTCGCCCGCGTATGTTTCATTGCAGAGTTTGCGTGTGATTCATAAATGAGTCCACTCATGTCCTGTCTTGTCCTTTGGGTGGGCTAGTCTTTCTCTAACTGCCGTGTGTGGTTCTGTCGGTGTAAACGCACGCAGGAGCACCCGGACGCCAGCCCAACACACACAACAGAAAGGAGTGTGAGAAAGAACCGAATCAAAGACCGCTGCACAAGAGAAAGCCACGTAACGGACCGGGACAGAACACGGACCATCACCACCGAACAGCAGAAACATAAAGGATGGGTTTAGGAAGCTGTAGAAACACGGAGACGCGGAACCAGAACCATGAACAGAGATCTACGCATTAGATCGTGCACGGGACGGTCATCGGTGAGGAGAGCACGGGCAGCAGAGCGCCACGCCGTCCTCTGCTGCCCGCGGATAAACGGAGGAGGAAGTGACGCTGTCATTAGCGGCTAGCTCTGAAGAAGACCAGAGGAGTGGTCGAAACTGTCAGGAAGGTAAAAAATCCTAAAGGTGCTTTCAGAAGGAACACACGTGAATGTTTTTAGCATTCCTGTTCTGATCCTTAAAAAAGTGGAACTTTGATTGAAATCCCATTTAAATTCCATCTGTGGCGTCAGATCAGCTGATTTCTCACCGCCGGCCTGTTGTAGCGTCACACAGGTCATCGACCTGCTGGAGGGTCTCCGCTGCGCCGCCCTGCCGTTGCTGTGCGAACGCATCGTAGAGGTTCCGGTCCGGGACTGGGTGGTGGCTCCGGCGCTGCAGAAGGACCGGCATTTCTGCACCCGGAAAGCCCCGGACCCGGATGGGAATCTGAGGCAGGAAGCCAAGGCTCTGGACCAAGCCGACTCAGGTGGTTTCAGGCATCTCAGCTGATCGCTTTAAGGGAAAACTTACACTCATCCAAATTCCTCTCATTCCAGATGACGATGACCTCAGCCCGGCCTTCGGGAGCGTTCCCTACATCGCCAGACCTCATCCTGAACAAATGAGTCACACAGGTCAGATTTTTGTTACTTCTACTCTTTTTCTGGTCATTCACAGTAAATCCTTCTTTTGTATTTGCTTTTCCCAGCATTCCTGGTGAAACTGAGGAAGTGTGTGCGGTAGCTGCTGCCAGACCTGGACACAATCTGACAACCAGATGACCGAAATCCCAACTGCAGTGAACTCTTCTGCACTCATAACTCTAACCAAAAGGATGGTATGGATCGCTGCAGCAGGCTGGAATGAAGAAGCCTTCATTTGGACGTTGGGTCAAATGGGCACAAACACCCAGTAGAGCCCGTGTGTGTCCCGGACAGCTGAGCATTTACTCACAGATTCAAAAGTTGTGTAAAAGTTCAAATAAGTTAAATAAATGAACTAATAGCTGGAGAACAGGAACCGTCTTCTCAGGTTTGTCTCGTTTTATGTCGGTTACTTCCGTTAAACCACCACGAAAACTCCTGTCGCCCAACAGGAGTCAGGAGGAGCAGATTCGTCCGATTCAGGAAGGAAAAGTATGAAGTCACAGAAGCGCTGAGCTGGTGTGAAGAGGAGCATGGTGGATCTCCACATCTCAGGGATCCAGTCTGTGAAGGAAGAGGAGTCCTGGAAAACGAGAGCATGGAACGAAGGTGTTTTCATGCGGCACATCAGTAACATAAAGGAATCACAGGCGCCATTTTAGACTTCATGACGAAGCTGTAATCCTCCGCTGAAAGGTTCGAGGCAGCTCCGAAGACACCTGCTTCTGTAAACAGATGCACACGAGCGAACCAGCATAAACACACACACAGCAAGAGCAAACTTAGGAGGGTGGCTGTGGAGGTACATTTGGTGCAGCGTTTGTGTTTTGTCCCTGGAAATCAGAGAAAAATCCCATCTTTCACAGTGTAACGGAATGAAATGACTGTTTTCCACCTAAAAGTCATTTCCCCCCTCTCCTCAGCAAGAACTAATCTGCATGAGATATTGTTCAAGGTCTCATTCATCTGCTTCTAAACTGTTTTCCTTTCCAGCTCAAGAGAAGAATGAAGAAAGGACTTTCTTTTTAATAAATCAAAGAACTCTATTTTTAAAAAGCTAATCAAACAAAGTGTTAGTCAATAATGTGAACCAATTTGTGACATTAAATTACTTGATAATATAATCCTACAGAATATAATAAGTAATATAACTTTAAATGTTTCCACTAGACTGATCACACGAAATAATTGTCTCCTGTTTCCTTCCTCCTCTTGTCTCCTGTCTCCTTCCTCTTGTCTCCTGTTTCCTTCCTATGGAGAAGTGTATTTCTCTGTCGCCTCATTTGGTCTGCTGTCATCAAACACTTTCTGGCCGTCATCACAGTCGGATTGACCCATGCAGTCGACATGTAGTTGGTATTTTGCTGAACTCAAGAGTTCCACGCGACCTTGTTGCTGAATTCCTGTTAAACAGCCTTGATGGAAGCAAAACGTTCTTCGTTTTATCTCCTTGGTCAAGATTTTAAAAATGCTAGCAAAGGCGCCTGTTAGCTGAAGAGGTCAGGTATGCTGTCAGCATTCGTTATGTGAATGAGTCTGGGATACATTCTTCTGATCTGGTGTGTGTGTGTGTGTGTGTGGCATGCAGCCCTTAAAGGTGCAAATCCTTCCTCACAAGACTGACCTCAAAAAGGTCTCTGAGCATCAAGTGAAATGCTTTAATCAAAGAAAGTCGAGTTTAGTGCAGGCTAGTCTAGAACCACACACGCTGAGCCTAGGGCGTTTCATCTAATCTGCACTTAACATTTGTTCAAAGAAAATTCTGAATTGGTATCTTGTTTTTGATCTACTGCACCCCGTCCAGCCGCTTAAGAGGTATTAATAACGGTTCCGACAGTTAACTCTGTCCAAATACTCCATAATTCTGATCTTAGACAGAAAATTATTTTCTATTTCAAACATTAACATTCCCTGTAAAAAGAAAAATACACAATTCAGATAAAAGAAAAAATATAAACAATTTTACAGGAAAACACACGTTAACCAAATAAATAAAAGGCCAAAACTTTGTATTTTATTTTTTTAGCTAAAAGGTGAGATGACACAATTTCAGTTCATCAAATGAATCCATAAAACTGCTGAATTATTTTAACCAGAACTTTTAGTTTATACCTTTCCCTTTAATTTTAAATAACATCTGCAGACATCTGGGAAGGAGTTTAGAATAAGATTTCTGAGGCAGTGGCGAGCTTGACTGAATCCTAAAACCGTGCTATTTACCGACTATCTCATTGGCTGGATTATAATAAATCTGTTTTTTCTTTGGTTCATGTCATTTATTTCTGTTTAATTTAATACATTTTAGTTTTTAACACTATTTATAATCATCTCTTCCAAAAATCTGATTACCAACACTTCATGAATACTTTGGATTCTCCTTCCTTTCTTCCAAGCTTTTACCAGGACAGCATATCATCGTATCACCAGCTAATAAACATTCGTCTCAGAGCCACGAAATAAATAAATATGAATGATTCAGGGACTTCGCTCGTGAGGCGCGGCTTCAGCAGCAGAATAGCTCATGACTGAGTTGTGTTTTATTTCTCGTACGTAAATGTCAGAAAATGTGACGAAGCTAAAATAGGAGAAAAAACACCCCAGTGTTTCATTTCTTAGCTGTAAAACGTCTTTAATGAACTAAATGCAAAAACCGAAAGACAAAACGTGTCTTGAACAAAAAATGTTGAACATTCCAACATTAAACAGAAAAAATAAAATCTCAACAAGGGGCCACTCGATGATTATATATCATTCTGAACATTTTTATTGAACAATTAAACTGAATATGAATTTAACTCTGGGAGTCAGCCTGCCCCCGGTCAGGATCTTTGAGTCGGAGGATGCGGATGATGCTGCTCGTAGGGAGAGAGCTGGAGGGGATAAAAGGCATGACTTAGTTTAAATTCTTCATTTTGTAACAAAATATCTGAGCTTTTTTCACCTTATTATGACTGATTTATCACATTTAATGTTTTAATTGAACTGTAGTTTACCTCATGTTCTGCGGCGTGAGGAAAATGAACTGTCTGTAGCGCTGGCTGGCAGCTACCTTCAGCATCATGTCCATAGAGATCCTCCTGTTCACCATGTCCTAGCACAACCAAGGACATGAAACAAGTCACCCACCCGCCGGCATGCTGACAGAAATCTTTAAAGAGCAAATTGCAGGTCAGAGACTCCCGTGAACCGATGTTCAGAGAAACATGACAGAAACTCGTTTATAAAGTTTTTTTACACATACATGAATTATTGAGGCTTTTAGAGTCTTTTTTTGAGTTTTTGGTGCCAAACCAAGTGACGTCAGCCGAGGGAGTCCAGTTAGCTTAATCCAGAGACAAATATGGATTCTAATGCGGCGCTGGCACAGAGGAAACTTTACATGTTTATAATTCTACTTCTGATGGACCAGAACCATAAAGTTCTGAGTTTGCTGCTCGCCCCAGAGAGCAGAGACCAACCGGAGGGAGAAACCATCGGCCAAAGCAGAGACTAAGGAGGAGGAGCAGCAGGTGAGTTCATGATGCTAGCTTAAACTCGTGTGCTAGCATCACAGTGTTGTACAGGTTACCACCATGTACCAGACAACTAAAATAGTATCGGTCAGTTAATATAATATTAATACTAATGAGCGTCTGTCAGCGGTCCCGTACTCGTTAATATCCGTTCACCTAACCTAGTTTAGCGCTTTAGAGAGAGGGAGAGCTTCCGGTTCTGGAGCTCACGCGGGTTTATTTGAGCTGGATCCGACCCAGACACCAGCAAGCCAGTCCAGTTGGTATTTTTAAAAGCTGCACATGATCCTCTCCTGGTTGTCTGGGCGGCGGTTCTGATCCGGTTCCGACCCGGAAACCAAATGGCCCGCTGAGCCGTACATCTCTTCTGATGGTCGGTTCTGACGGTGAGCTGAGCTCCAGAAATCTGCATTTCATTTTTTAAACCCCACCACGGGTCTCCGGAGCCCAGCGCGGACCTCCCTGACCCGGTACCGACCCATGTGGGCTACAGAAGTCCGTCTTTCAGCTGCAGAAACGCCCTCAGGCACGGAGACAGAGGCGTTGTTCCTCTGATCTGGAAACCCGGGGACTCGATGCCCAGACAGGCTGGAGTTGGTGCAGCCTTCACACACACTAGTTTACCAACATGAACACAACCCAACACTAGTAAACACACACCGACTGGATCACATGACCTCTACCCTAAAACTAGCCACTCTCCACACCGAGCTGAGGCAGCCGAGCTTCTGACTCCCTCTGGTCACGTCGGAGGTTCAGGTTTAGAAACGAGCCTTTTTAGAAGCTCTGCTGAGAAAAAACACTTTTCACTAGAAAAACTGCTGTTGTGTATTTTAAAACCAAATATCCACGATAAACATTTCAAAGAGGATTTTTTTGGACAGCATTTTATATGAATTAGAAAAAAAATGTAAGCAGCACTTTGCTCTTTAACTGCAGTGCAGCACGTTAACAACCTGAAAAGGTTAGATGTTTGAATCAATACGGACCATCGGCGGTTAAAGAAAAAGTCAGTGTGTGAGACTAAATCTACAATGTCGGCAATTGTTTTCAAAGTTAGCTCCGAGTTCAGATTGCCAAGTAAAATATAAACAGAGCACACCAACTGTATTCATTCCTCTATGAAGCCCACTTGTTCACTTGATCATTACCATGTAGACATCAAACTCATCCAGACAGCGGAAAGGCGCTTCGGTGATGGCCCAAAGAGAGAGGACGAAGCAAACTGTGGAGAAGGACCGCTCGCCTCCAGACAGTGAGCGCATGTCACTCAGGTCAGCTTTGCTCCCTTGGCCGGGCTGCACCTAAACACAAATTAGTTATAAAATTATAATAAAGTTATTGTTTTATGAGAATAAGAGGCTGGATAAAAGAATCAGATATTCTTACAGAGATTGAGAGGGTCTCATTCTTGTGGTCAAAGGTCATACTTCCACTGTAGCCTCTCTGAGCCAGCATGCTATTAAAGTAGTATTTGCAGCGAGCTGAGAGGAACCTGCAACACCAAACAGCTCATTAAACCTCCAGGGACAACCGTAAAACTACAGTCTTATTACATTCATTTCTAAATGTTACTTTTTTACAGAAACAGTAACTAATAACTGTTTTTGCTGTGCATGACTGTGAAGTGAATCAAAGCTTGACCACTTGCTGTCTGAGGTCGGCGTAAATCTGAAGTCTGTGGATCATGACGCTGTCCAGGCACTTAATGAAGCTATTGAGGTTCTTCATCTGCTGTGACATGTTCCTGTAGCTCTCCAGAGCCTCGTGGAATTGCCTTGATGGAAGCGAAAGACACGTAAAGCATAAAGAAGACCTTCATGCATGCCAGTTAGCTGATAAGAAGACGGAAATGACAAACCTAACGACCTCCTCGCGGTCCTCCTGCTGCTCCTGCTGGGTAGAGATCTTCACTTTGAGACGGTTGATCTCACTGTCCAAACTCTTGGCGGTGCGACTGACTTCAGATCGATCAGGACTAATCTGAGTTGCCTTAGCGACAGACGCCTGAGTGGAAAAAGTATCAAGAAAGACGATTTCAGAAAGAACAAGAATGCTAACTTTATGTCACCTACTAGCGTTTGTACAACTGCTACAGCAGCTGAGATGTGAAATTTCAATTCTGTTGACTTTATGTTTGTTCATCCAAAAGCTTCAGAGTACGAGCTGACACACCTCTACCTCCTCTTCCTTCCTTTTAAGCTGGGCTTCAAGATTTTTTATGCCGGCAAGATGTGCATTTCGCTTCTCATCGTAGTGTTTCTTGTGATGTTTACACTTCATCACCTCCTGATCTGCTTTACTGAGTTCATCCTGCAGAGGAAATGTAAATGAAACAATGGAAGTAATGGTAGTGAAAAAAACAGATGAAAATGAGAAGTTTTTGGAAATATCAAATAAGCTAACTCGTGGCGTTGTCTTGCGTGCTATGCAGATAAATTAGAGATGTTCCATTGTTTAAGTCACACACTAGCAAATCGTTGCTGCTCCAGTCTGCAATGAAACTTGTGACATCGTCCTTTAACAAGCCAATCTGGTCAAATGCTTCAGGGTTTTCTCTACATGTAACGGTCGTGGCACACCGCCATGGCAAGATAATGAATCCGGCTCGAAGGACCAAATTATGTCAGGGATTTTATCAGTAAACCCATTTCCTGCAGCTAGAGAGGGACGAGAGACAACTCAAGCAGACAAGTAAACCAAACTGCAATCTGTAGCAAAAGCCCCGAAGTTCTGCTCACAGTTTATTTACTACAAAAGATAAGAAAGGAAAGGGAGTGAGGTCATGTGTGACAGCGTGTGTGTGTGTGTGTGTGTGTGTGTGTGTGTGTGTGTGTGAGAGAATGCTTCAGGCATAAGGTAATACATTTGTTAATAGGATTAAAGTAATGAAATATAACATTTCCGTAACAATGTTTTTATATATATGTATGTTTTATATGTTAAAACAGTGTAGAGCAGGGGTGTCAAACTCAAACGGGGCCGAAATGAAACTCTGGGACGGAGTCGAGGGCTAAACTTAATATTTTTTGAAAAAGTGACGGCAAATTTGCACATTTTCTTTATCAACATTTATGCGATTTTGAACCTTTAAACCTGCCGGTGTCTGCAACCTTTAAATTTGGAAACAAACTTATTTCTGCATTAACACTGAATGTGGAATAACCAAATGACACACGAGCAAGTCAGTTTTAAACAAAACACATCAGTGGTATTCATTACTTGTGGTATAATCAGCATTTTTAAAATCTATTCAGGATTTATGTTTTCTTGTTTATTCATTTTTCTTATTTTTTATTCTCCTTTTTTCTCCTGTAATACGTGTCATCGCTGCTGTGACGTCTAGCTTTCCCCACTGAGGAACAATAAAGGGATTTTCTATTCTATTCATCTATCTGCAGCCTTTCCACTTCCTGTTTACTGTAGGTTAAATCTTTGCTCACGGGCCAACAACAAAATAAAAATATCATTTTATCTTAAATGAAAATGCAACATCTCACCTGTTAACTTTCATGTTTTGGAGCAGAAAAAGAGCATAAAACCAACATATTTAAAGCTCAGTTTGCTCCACTGGTTTACTGTGATGCTCCCCTGTTCCAGCCAGATACCTGCATCATGGGGTTGATCTGAGCTGAGGAGGAGACTCCTGTTGTTTTGTTCATCTTCATCATAATAATGACAACATTAGATGACAACAGGTGCTCACATAGGTTTGTGCTGATGAACATGTCTGAGCAGCTTGACCACGTTGTTGTGTGTCGGGGAGGAAACACAACCACAGAGTCATGCTGGTTTGAGCGTGTCGCTGCTCGCTGGAGTTATATCATCTCTGTCTGGACGTTAGTTGGAAACTTTCTCTTTAAGTCGTGAACACATTACTGAGCGGCTAGAATCTCCGTTTCTGGGCTTCAACGTCAGAAAATAGCTGAGTGAACTCGGCGCTGAGTGAGAGGAGTGTAGTTTGTCCGAGACAGCGGAGCTGCAGACACCGGCAGCAGGCGCTGGAAAAACACAAAGGAGGGGGCTTCGTCTGCTCCGCGCTGACGCCACAAAGCATCATGGGAGTTGAAGTCTTTGTGGTAAAAACAGCCAGCGGGCCAGTTTTAATATATTTTTGATATTTATCTCGCGGGCCACATAAAAATGCTCCGCGGGCCTTGTGTCTGACATACGTGGTGTAGAGCATATGAGCTATATATTGCCTGTATTTGTGCACTTATACTAACCATAATCATGGTTTGGGATGAGCTTAACTCACAAAACAAAGTGAAAAATAACTTTATTTAGAAAAATTACCACCAGCAGCTACTTGTCTGGCTGTGAATCTGCTGTGCAATGCGGCGGGAGTGTTTCTCAGGAGTTAAGGAAAAGTAGAGACGACAGTCCGAGGTAGAGACAGAAAGGTACCTGAGGAAAGTGAAGTTGGTGCAATTTTAGTTCAAGCCTGTAAAAAATGAGCCTCAGTTAACAAAGCGATACTCCGTCCCGCATTACCCCGCTGTGGAGAAAGCAGTAGCTTTAACTGGAGCACGCTCACGAACCACCAGCCCAAAACCAAAGTAAAGGCTGAGCTCGGAGCGGAGGATGGAGATGTGTTGTTAGAATAAAACCTCGCGGCTGTTCAAGGAGACTCTGACAGAGTCTCTGTTGTTTTTCTAAATCGTTTTTTCGTGTCATGATGACGAGTCTGATATAAAACGGTGCAACAAATCGGGAGTGACAAAAAAAACCTATGTTGGTCAGAAGCAGGTTTCCCAGTAATTAGACAGGTTCATGCTAAAACCCAGAGAGTATTCTAGCACTGACAATGTGCCGAGTTGAGTTGTTTCAGATAGAAACAAGCGAAACCCTTTTAGAGCACCAAGAAAAGCTGAGAGAACTGAACAATAATAAAAAATTAGATCAGACTTTTCTCTCAGGTTAAAAATCAGAGATGTTTGTTCTCTTTCTTAAATATTTACCATTATATTTGTTGACAATTAGAAAAAACTGCAGCCCACCACCAGGGTCTTAAAAATTCCTGTGCTTCTTTAAAAATGTTAACCGATTTCAAAGTAAAAGGAGGTTTGTAAAACCCTTACCGATTTTTTCTATAGCGCCTCTCATGAGGCGCTTCACAAGAACAAAACATTTAAAATATAAATTTTTTTTAAAAATGATTACAAATGATTAAAACATGCAAAAATAGAGGTCACCAGCCTGAACAGGTGAGTTTTCAGCTAACAGATTCCTGGACAGAGTTTTACCACAGCCGTCAGCCAGTCATGCAGTTTTGAGATAATTTTATGGTTCAAGTTACGATAAATAAGCTAAGAATACTTTATTTAATATATCAGATTAATGTATACGTTAGCACACATTTAAATGGTTTACAGAATGTTTCCAGGGTGGAACCAATGTTTAGTTTGTTGTTTCGGGGTTGACAATATTTTCAGTTGCACGCCACATTTGATAGGGGCAGCATGCTAACCGCTATCATTCGTTGGTAGAGCTATGCAGACGCATGCAACAACGTTTTCCAGCTGTGGAAAGGAGTGACACTGCAAGATGTGTTTTTTATTAACCCCTGCAAGTTAATGCGGCCATTGAGGTATGCAGTGTGTGTTTATGTCGTGATGGGAAAATAAGATGTTTGTTTGTGACAGAACTGTCGCGTTTATGGTGGTCACGGGTAATTTGTAAATGTAAATTGTGAGTGTTTATCTTGTGTATTAGTGCTTTATTGTTTATTCTCTCTGAGAACGATTTATTGTGGAAACTGATTATTCTATGTCGTTTGTACAGTTCTCACGGCACCGTTGGTGGCACCTGTGTGCAATAAATGCCAGTTAAAATTCAAGAACGCCTTGTGTCCGTTTTCAACTTGGAGGGAGTTACAGCAGGACAATAAAAACCTAAGTTTGAATTTCCCAAGCAAACACACTTGCAGGGTGTGTTGGGTATTTTGGTTCAAATGCAGCAGAAATAACATTCTTTTTTACACCGTGTAGCGTCCAGCAATGGTCAGTTTGGGTACAGCCTGACCTTTCACCATCTATTCAACATCTGCTCAGAAAGGAGACACAACATTGCACGTGTTCCCTTTAAATGAGCCTTCACACCAGCTGGGGTTCAGACTCTGCAAGTCTGAATCATAAACAATCATTTTCTTTCCCAAGGTCTCATCGGTCTGCCTCCAGAAGAAAGAAGATCCAGCTCGAATAATTGCCAAATTCAAGAATGATTATAAACTCTTTCCATGACTTCTTATCTACATAATCATTAAATAAACATTTGTTTATTACTACTTATAATAATTATAGTATAATGAAATGCTTCATTAATCTGTGCACTGAATGGATTTATATTATGTGTGTCTAATAGAACCTGCAGTGTGTTCACCATGTTTTGATGACAAGGTTCCCCGCCTGCTCCACACATAACAAGTACAGCTAAGTTAAACCCTGACACACGTAGTATTAACCCAGTCAGAACATCCTGTATCAAAGAAGGTGTGTTTCTGAGATTCTTGGTAAAACATCTCCAAACTTGTCTGCCTCTGATTGGCTGTCCAAATCATAACATCAAATCCTTAAAACTTTTTTTTTTTTTACCGAGTCCTGTCTGGCTGTGAAGCAAGCAGAACTGGTGTCTGAATGCTGGTGACAAGCCTTACAGATTTACTCTCAGGTGGAGCATCAAAGCGTCTGCTTTAAATGTCACGCCTGATACTTAAAACTTCATTGTTATTGTTTTTGAATGCTTTGTAATTTTGACCAGACACGGAATTAGAGGTGAAAGAGAAAGGAAAAGACAAAAGGTGGGGAGAGAGAGAGGGGGGAAGGGGGTGGGGGGTCCTCAAAAATAAACAATAATGAACAAGAGTCTGCTTCTAGACCTGCACAAAGAGAGAAGAAAAAAATGGGACACACAACAATACATCAGGAGCAAGCTATCACTGCATCAGCCTGATGATGAAATATAAAATCAACATTAACTGAACAATCACACGATAATAAATCACAGTGCATTTAGTGGCAACCATAGCCTTAAGACAAGTGTTGAACGTGCCCAAGTCCATACTTATGAGAGCACCATGTGAGCACCTGTGTGTGTACACGCGCTTGTTTATGTAAGGTTTCTCTGTAGGAGCGTCCAATAGAGAGTGTGAGGGGCCACAGATGTTCGCCCCAAAGATGTGTAGGAGACGGGGGGAGCTCCAAGTCCCAGAGATCCAGGAGCTGCCCCAGGGCACAGGAACCCCAGGGAGACTGCAACCAGAAAAGCCCCCGCCCCCCTCGAGAGGTGCAGAGGATCGCCCTGGGGGGCCACAA